CAAACCAAAACATTTTGATGCACAAACCTCTCCGAAATCTAGGGAAGAGCTAGAAGGACGAGCCTTTTGGCGCATTTTGGGATAATCCTTCCTAGATGGTTCCCTCTTCCTATCAGGATTTGGATCTCAATCCCTTGTGTGATCAAGCAAATGAAGCAATGGCCAGATGCAGCGGCTCCAGAGCAAAAAAATCTCTCCTGAATTCTTCTGGCTGCTTAAAATTAGGGCACTGACCCCCAGCGCGAGCCACCCACCAAGGTGGTGGGTACAGACACAGTAGGAGCGACCTTCCCTCTAACTCTCTATTCTGTTCATAACACAGTATGTGTTCTGCTTTAAAGAGACACTGGGTGGAATTAAAACCATCTTCAGTGCAGATTTCCTGCCCCAGCTTGTCCAAACACTGCGTTGTCAGAGCTGGAAATGCAATGGCCAAGTGGCTTCTGGCTAGTGCTGGCCCCAGGTCTCCAGTGTCTCTCTCCCTGCTCCTCCTCCTCCTCCTCCTCCTCCTCCTCCTCCTCCTCCTCCTCCTCTCCTCCTTCTCTCCCCGAGTGGCTGCTGGAGCATCAGGAATGTAAATGCAGCAGGCAGTGTTATCTTCCCAAATACTTTCTGTCAGATATGGATATGTTTCTGTGGACTTTCAGTTGCATAAAACCTCACAGAGCTGCTTTTTGGCCTGAAGTTATCTGCTTGATGTTCCCTTCAGCTGGAAGATGCTTCTTTGTGGTTGCTTGTACGGAAGGAATAATTCTTTACATGGAGCTCTGCAACCTGTGAGCCTGGTCAAGCAAGGGGGAATTGCTTTACACGGCAGTGGAGGAATGATCCCATAAATCAGATCCCACCTTGTCTCCTGTACAAGTACGACTGGGTAGGGAATAAAATACAGCATCAAACAGTACAGTATGATATGTGCAATACAGGAGAAGTTTGCAAAACAGGATTATAAATCACTGGAAGGAGAAGAGGCATTTAGCTTAAAGCTTTGGAAATATATTAAAACTCTCTCATTTTGTAAATTTGGTTAACTTGTATTAATCTGTGAAAATATGCAGGTTTTATTCTATGTGGAGATGGATGACATTTCCAGAACTCAAGTCTTTAGGCTTTTCCAAGTTCTTACTGAAAAGCCAGAGATAATTACTTTTCCAGGGACATAAAGATAATGACTCCACATTTACAGGACATGATTAATAACAAGTCTGTTTATATTTACAGTCACTTCACTTACCCCTGAAACGGGGCCACCTCCAAAGCAGCCTATGGAGCTTTTTATCCCATGGTGCTGGGAATCTGGCGCTGTGGTTATTTCCAGGCGTGATACCAAAAAAATATCTCTGAAAGGGACTTTGGGAAGATGCCGGCTCATCCTCCTGCTCCTAATGCCTTGTCCAAATCCCCTTCCCTGCCTGCCTTGGCTTTGGTGGATGAGGGGAATGGTTTTTCCCCCTTCTCTCTGCAGGAACCTCGTGAATACTGGGGAAGCTGTCACAGCCTCGCCGGCTGCCTGGAGGCTGGGTGAGAGCCCTCGTGCCCTGCACGTGTCGGCTGCGGGCAGCCCAGGAGGGGATGGTGGTCTGACTCCTCAGCCAGAGATTGCTTCCAGCCACAAAACGATGCGCCTCTTCCCAGCACGAGGAGCGTGTGACCAGCGGCCAAGGATGCAGCAGTGAGCAACAGCCGTCACGAGGCTTTTTTTTTTTTAACCTCCGCAGCCGACTTGGTGGAGGGAATACGTCGCGCCCCCCGCTCTGTGCCTCGGTTTCCCCATTACCAGGGAAGGGAGAGGGACGTCTGCTTCGTACCTTGTACTTCTTCACAGCTGCAGCCCCAGGGCTGAGCAGAGCTGACCCATCCCATCTCCACTGCTCCGATTCCCCCAGGGCAACATCACCAGCCCCAGCCAAAAGCAGACAAGCCCCTGCAGGTCCCTCAGCCAGAAGGGACCCTGCTCACAAGAAACCTCCCTGCTAAGCCCTGCCTGCTGCCCAAAATACCTCTCCGGGTGGTGACCCTGCTTTGACAGGCAGCGTTCCCCTCCGCATCACCTCCAGCACAGGTTGGCAGATGCCTCTGCCAGATCAGAGACACCACGGAGGCTCCTTTCTCCCCTCTCTGCTAATGGGGAAGGCTCCGCAGCCTCGGCGAGCCAGTGCCAAATCCCGCTCCAACAGCTGTACGTTCTCCAGCATGAGTCATCCCCACCCCGAGCTTTCAGCCTCTCCATAACAACATTCCTTCTCTCTGATCTCAGATCCTGGCCGTGATCTCTCCCTGTCTAGTTCTCTTTCCTCCATCCACACGGTTCCTCCTGTCCAGGCTCAGTCCCCAGCCGAGGCAGCAGAGAGCAGAGGAGGCTTCTCCAGGATCACCAGAGCCTGAAACAAGGCGTATGCAGATCCTCTCCCTCCCCCCAAATCAGAAGAAAGTGCCCAATTACCATGAGATTCATTTTCTTCCCTCTGAAGAGGGACAGTGACGTCAATTCTTTTTCGTATTGTTTTTTGTTGTTCCTCCCCATCCAAGGCGTGTCTGTAAGAGCAGCTGCTGCCCACCCTCTCCCAGAGCATTGGGGAAAGTTCTCTGAGCCTTTGGTCCTGCACATCTCCTGTCCTGCCACGATCTCTGCTCCAGAGCCTCCTCCCTGACCCCCTTCCTCTCTCTCCTGCTGTCACTTTTGTCCCCAGTGGGCTCTTTTCTCCTCTTCACCTCTCTGCTCCTCCAGAGGTGATCCTACTGCCTGCAAGGACACAGGCAAGTCTGACATCCACCTCCCCCTCGGGGAGCTGAGTACTGCAGGAAGAGTGGAAGAGCCAGGCTGAGCTCTTCCTCCTCTGCAGGAGCTTTTCCCCTGCACAGTCCAGCTTTAACCCCTGGAGGCATCTTTTACCACGTTAGCGGTAGACCCACAGGGAGACCAACCCGCTCGGGGCATCACTGGGTGATCTGCAAACAGAAAACTGCTTTTGAGCCATCTCCTGCGTAGGGATGGGCAGTGCCTTGAGCACGACAGCCCTCTGCCAGCTCCGTGCTGCCAGCTCCCCTCCCTGCCCGCGCTGCCGAGAGCGCTGACCCTCGCTCCTAAACCCGCCGGCGCTGAGCTCTTGCTGCTTCCCCCTCCGGCTCTTTGGCCGGCTCCGCCTGGCACAGGTACAGCCTCTGAATAGGAATCAAATTTTGTTCAAAAGCATTAATTTCTTCTGGATCATGGAGTGCCCAGATGGTCTCCAGTGGTAGCGAAGGGAGACCTTGAACGTGTTGCTTGAACAGCGTGAAAAGCCAAAGTCAGATATTGTTCCTGCCTGGGCAGTTGTGTCTGTCATCTTGCCGGGGTGGCCAGGATGAGCGAGGCACCGCTCTGGTCCAGCAGTGCAGCTGGAACCTTGAACCCACATCTATAATCCTTCACCTTCCCCAGTGGTCACCGCTCAAGAAGCTCCAAAGTTTCCCAAACGCTGCTTTAACTGAGCCTGGCAGGGGGTCGGGGGAAGACGACCCCCCGCAGCATCTCCACAACATAACCCAGAAGTGGGGATTTTATTTCTCTCATCATTGACTCACTGGATGATGCTCCCCTGCCAGAGACAGGTGAGGAACCCGACATCCTGCGCATCATTTCTGAGTTTTACACCTAAAAATCTTTCCTGGGCAGTGCTCCCTGCCATAGAGCGGGCCGGCTGGATTCTGCATCTGCTTACAGACCATGGGGTGGCAAAGTCATGTGGGGAATTACAGAGTTGGGTTTTGTGGCTCCCTGGGGAGAGCAGGGGTCTGGTTTGATGCTCTTCAGTTTACCACAACTATGGGGAAGAGTAGGAATGCAAGCTCAGTACATTTTTAATTAAAGGCTGATAAACAGCCTTTCTGCCTGCAAACCATCAGTGGCTCGAGGATGTAACAGGGCCGAATCTCCTCAGCACTTACCAGTGCGTTGTGTGGGGGTGTTGGTGCGTGAATATGTTGGTGAAAGCTGGGATCAGCTGTTTCAGTGTTTCGCGATGGGTCAGCGCCAGTTACAGCTGTGGGACGCTGCTCGCTGCCCTGCAGGGATGGGGATGTGGGGATGGGGATGTGGGGATGGAGATGTGGGGATGGGGATGCGGGGATGGGGATGCGGGGATGGAGATGTGGGGATGGAGATGCAGGGGTGCAGTGCCATGATCCTTGGGGCTGATGGAGAGCTCTGTGTGTGTCTCCAGCAAGTTCAGGGGAAGAAAAGCAAAGCATCTCACGCAGAGCCAGCTCCTTGCAGCAGCTCTGCTCTTCCTGCCTGCCTGGAGCAGAAAGTGCCCCTGGAACCTCCTTTAATCACCGGCTGGGGGGGGGGGGGGCGGGGGAGGGGGGGCTGCATCAAACGTTTCTGCCTCCCCAGTTAACTTGGGGTGATGCTTTTATCCCAACTGCCGAACTCCCTGTGCGCTCACAGCTGGAAGGGGGAAACCACCGCAACCCCAGTCCCAGCGCAGGCTGGCCTGGCTGGGAGAAATGGGATCTGTTGGTGCATCTCAGGCCACGGGTGGGGCTGGGGGGGGTCTGTGCCGTGGGAGCGGGAGAAGGGTCTTCTCTGGGCTCCGGTAGTGGGGGGGGTCCCATCCTGCGCAGGGGGTGCCGCTGGGCAAGGCAGAGAGGGGACCGGGGAGAGGCGGGGGAAGCAGCCGGGCCGGGGGGCTGCCCGCCCTCCTCCCCGCCGCTCCCCGGGGCCCGGCCGGGCTCCGGCCCCGCTCGGAGGCAGGAAAATCCCCCGCGATCCCCGCAAAACGATCGCAACTTTCCCACGGCCGGGGACCGGCTGCCGGCCCCGCCGGAGCCCGTAACCCCACGGGGGGGGGGGGTGGGGACGACGACGACGGACTCCGCTCCCGTGTCCCGTGTGTGTCCCCCCCCCCCCCACTCCCCGCCATCCCCGCGCTCCGCCCCCCCGCGGGGCCGCGGCCGGGGCCGGGCGGGGCGGGGACCCGGGCGGAACCCGCCGCCCCCCCCCCACCCGAGTCCCCCCCCACCCCACCCCACCCCAGACGTCCCGGCGGCGGCGAGGGCGAGCTGGGAGCCGGTTGCCGGTCGCCCCCCGCTGCTCCATGGCCCCGGCCGCGGCGGCGGAGCCCAGCGCCCGCCACCCCCCGGGGGAGCGGCCCCGGCCCCGGCCCCGGCCCCGGCGGGAGGCGGTGAGTGAGGGACGGGGGGGGGGTGTGGCGGGGAGGGGAGCACAGCCCCGGGGATGGGGGGGATGTTCGTGGGGGTGGGCACCGGCGGGTGGGATACCCACGCGGGTACACACGGAGACGACACCGGCCGGACACACTCACATCAACCCCGGGGACACAGGATGCACAGCGGGCACCCACGGCCACGGGGGGGACCCACGGCCACAGCCATGCGCCCGCAGGCACCGGGGACACGCGTGCGTGGGCGCACCAGACGCGGGCACACGCCTGCAGCCCGGCACACACGCACACGCTGACACGCGGGCCTGCACAGCCGGGCACGCACACTCGTGTGCAAGCCCACGCACGGACACGCCACCCCCTCGCACGGCCAGAAACCGGGACCTGGGAAGCAGCCGGCTGTAGTACCCAAATCCCAGCACTTTTTGCAGTTCCCCGAGTCTCCTCGCAGGGGGTTGAGGCGAGGAGCGGTCGCGCAGCTAATCCCCACGCAGGATTTGATGTAGACACTCGAGAGAAGAGAAGTGGGTGGAAATTATCCCGGGAGCTCCTGGAGTTTGGGACCGGGGAGGGACTTTCAGCACAAGGGGCTCAGCTTTGCAGCTTGGAGGGGGGGTGGGAACGACCACAGCCAGACCCACGGCTCCCATCGCGCTTCCAGGTGGGTTTTGATTCCTGTTCGTGAAATCGGGGAGATGGGGGCCGGGGGGGGCGGGGGTGCATTTCGCAGAGTAAGGAGTAGGGGAGATGATGGGAGGTTTAAATTGCTGGAGGCAAAAGTAATCCCAGCTGGGAATACGGCCGGGAACTTCACTGCTTGCAGGCAGAGTGGGCCGTGGGTCCCTGGGGTGGGAGGAGATGGCTTCTGTGTGTTTGTACCCGCCGGATAACTTGGGCCGTGCCTGGGAGCAGGGAGGACTTGGCAGCCCCCCGAGTCCCATCCCCTCCCTCCCTCCCTCCACGCTGGCAGGGATTTTTCAAAGGAGCAGCAGGGAAGGTGCCAAATTCAGAAAGAGTTTGGTCCTAATTCCCTGGAAATCCCAGCCTACGGGTTGGTTTTTTTCCCTCCTTCCTTTTCTCTTGGCCGTGAGGATTTGCAAGGTGCTCGGCCGTAGCCTGCATCCCCGGGTGCCCTGTCACCCTGCACCGCTTCCCAGAGGCAGGAATTCTCCCAGGAAATCCCCCTGAGCTCCCCACTCCTCCTCCTCCTCCTCCTCCAAGCAAGCAAAAAGCTGCCATTAGAAATACGCTCTGTTTAAATTTAGATGCCTGCATTATCTTGAATTTGGATTTATTAATTATTTGCATCTGGTTCATATCAAAAAAAGTTGAGCAATGCAGATGTCCCGATTTCGGCATCAGCTTGGAGGAGAAACACAGAATTTGCCGGCATTTCTATTGTCTCCTTAAACAATGGCCTGTCAGAAGCAGCCCGGAATTATGATCCCCTTCGCAGGGGTCTGACATGAGTTAAGCATCCATCCAACTTGCGTGATCTCCTCGCTATGGGTGGCTGCGGCTCATTTCCCAGCCGTAGAGATTAGTCTAATTAGCAGAGCAAATCTGGGTAAGGCAAGCTCTTGTAATTAGTAATCAGTTGGATGTTTTCGCACACTTTCTTTGCCTGAGGGGTAGAGAGGAGTTTAGCGGATGGCCCCGTTTTGGGAGCAGGGAGGACTTTGGAGAAGTCAAGGTGAATGGAGCTGGAGCTACTGGTGGCACTGGTGGCTCTCCTCGCTCCCAGGTGTTGCTGCATCCCATTTGCCCATCGGGACCTTCTCGCCCGGTGGAGCCCCTCAAGCGCGGGGTGGAAAGCGAAGGGACAAACCCGTCTGTGTCCCCAGATCACCCCAGCACCACCTTTCCCCGTAGCCTGCTGTCCTGGATCGCGTCCCAAGGGACAGTGGTGGCCCCGGTGGCTCCTGGCTGCTGTCTGGGACGTGCGACCTGAAGATGGAAAGCCAGCAAGATGTTTCTCCACGTCTCGGCCAGGCGTGGAGCTGGTGTCTCCATCAGCAAGCGCGTTGTGGAGGTGGTTGTGTGTTAACATCTCGTCCATCCCGTCCTTCGCTTGGGAAATTGAGGTCTCGGCTGCTGCGGAGAGGGAATCGAGGGATGTTTCAGACTGATGAGCTGTCACCTTTGGGTGATGGGCAGAGGGTGGTCACGCCTGGGGTCCTCCGTGCTGCAGCAAAGGTGAAAATCTATCACAAGCCCAGTTAAAAATAGGCATGAGACCCCCCAGCCCAGGACCAGAATGTGATTCCCGCTGGAAAGGGGGATGATCTTTCCCACACCGTGACAATTCGCATTCCTGGGCTAATGTGGAAGATTCTATGAGGGAATGTAATTAATTGTGATTGATTAACAGGTGTCCCCAGCCAAAGCTGAAGCTGGAGAGACAGATTTTGTCACTTCGTTGGGAACATGTTTGTGCTGGGGTCACGGCAGGGAGGTTTTACCCCTTGGGACAGAGCCTGGAGGAGGCTTTGCAACTTTGGACTGGGAGCTGCAGGTGGGAACTGGGATGGTGACAGAGTTTTCTCCTGCTGGGAGAGACCCAGAAAGACGCCCGGCAGCTTTTTATTTTGTTTCTTCTCTCTGGACACCTTCAATGTGTTAGCCAAGGGGGGGAAGTCTGAAGCAGACTGAGAAAGATAGGAAAGGAGAAGGCGGCACACAGGGGAGGATTTGGGGCCTCAAACCACCCCGAGCATCCTCCGGGGTGGGAGGGGAGATGGGGAGAGCGGAGCCGGGTGCTCTCCACACGATCCCCTCCCTGCCCCGTGCCGGGGGCGGCGTTGGAGGTTAGGCTGAAAAAGGGAGTTATTTTTAAGCGTCACATCTCGGCGCAGACTGTCATTACCATTCTCTGTACCTTCCCCGGGGGGTGGGGAAGCCGGGGGGGGGGGGGCCCTCGCAGAGCAGCTCGGTGCATCCTCATACCCAAAAGTCTCAGCTGCCTGGGTCCCCCTTCCCCGCGGAGGGGGGGGTTTGGGGGAGCTCAGCCACCACGGGCTTTGGCATCACGGGCTCCCTCGGGGGCTTGGACGAGGTGGAGTGGGCTGTGCTGTGCCACGGAGATTTGGGGGGGGTCTCACCCATCACTGCAGCCTTTAAACACGCTGTGGGCTTTGCTGGCTGATTCGGCACAAATTTCAAAATCAGTTTATTCCTAAAATCAGGAGAGCAGCTTTAAAGTCACAATATTTTAGGAAAAGAAAAGGAAAGAGGAGGTGCTTTCTGTTTGTCAAGCGTTTCTTGAGTGTTTGTTAGAGCTTGGGGTGCTCCCAGTAGCAGCTCCTCGAGGTGATGCTCTGGAGACGTGACCTGCGGAAGACGCGTGGGATGGGATCAGGATGGGATCATGCTCCGAGGATGGGCAACGCAGCCTGGAGTGGGGCAGGTGGCAGCGATGGAAATGCTCTCCCTGGGGAGATGCTGGGGTTTAAATCCCTGCTGGCGTGGTGGAGTCCGTCCCACAGCGAAGCCCTTTCCAGGTGCGAGCCAAGCACGGTCCTGGAAAGAAAACTGGCAAGGGGGGTAAAACTGCAAGGGGGGGGGCAGCTGCTCTCACTGCTGCCTGCACTTGGCCCTTTTCCAGAGGGTGTTTTTGCAGCTCCAGCACATCACCGAGCTGGCTGGGCGCTGGCTGGCATCCCCGGTGGCACGGCAGGAGATGTCTGGGCATCTCCCAGGCATCAGCGCAGCCCCTCATCCTTCGGCTGGAGGGAGATTTTGAGGCCAAATCTGCTTTTTGATAGTCAGTGGCACGCTGCAGACTCAAGCTGGCAGCGTGGTCGTGGCACCCCTGGGGCACCCACGGGATGCGGGGATCTGCCTGCAAGAGGGACCCTTCCCAAATTCCGCTTTACCCCCAGTCCAGCTCTGCTGGCTTTGGATATGTTGGGATTTAGTGTCAAATTTTAGGAGCGTCTGTCTGTGAAGGTGGCGGGAGAGGATTGGGGTGGGAAGGTGGAGCCAGCAATATGATGGGGGGGATTAGAGAAATATTTGAGTTTATATTAATGCCAAGCTTATTGCGGGGATTGGAAGCTTAACTCTGAACCAGGCAGCAGAGCAGCCCTCATCTCTCTGGATAATGCTAACGGCATTTACATTTCTATACTGTCATTCCTCCCCACTGGGAATCGAAACCTCGAAACTGGAGGTGTCAGTCCGGCGAACGGCGGCTGCCCCGGGGCTGGAGGGAGGTGGCTGGGAGCCCTGAGCCACCCCCCGTCCCCGCCAAGGGACCGGGCTGTCCCCCTGTCCTGGCAGCACCCTCGGGACCCCCGGCCCTCCGGCTGAGCTGTGTCTAGTGTCGCGGCTCCAACATTGAATTAATCCATTCGCGTGAGTGTCGGCATCTGGGAGTTGCAGAATTGGATGGCAACGCTGGGGTTTATGTTTTTTTTTTTTTTCTTTTTTTTTTTTCTTTTAATTTTTTTTTTTTTTAAAGAGCTTATATAACCTTGGGGATTCTATTAATAAAAATAATGGTTTTGAACTCTGGGAACAACCAGCCCTGGCGATGAGCAATTAAATGTTCCAACTTCAGAAAGCAGGCAGTTATCCGGTGGCGAGGAGATAAGGGGAGAGGCAGGAAAGGTGGCAGGGGGCTGGGGAGGGGGTGAAGGGGATTCCCTGCCTGGGGGCAGATCACCCGGCATCTGCCCGTCCCTGTGCCCGGGGAAAGGGAGCGGAGCAGGGAGTGGGGTCTGGGCTGGATCCCGGGGGTGCGGGGTGGCTGGGCACCCTCTCGTCCTCCTGCACCCATTTTTAAGCACCCTCAGGTTAACCCCGGGCCGTATCCAGAACAGAAGTGTGGGACGAGCAGCCTGGGCCCCAGGGGGATGCTCGTGGTCCTGGGGGGGGGGGTGGGGCTCGGCGAGGGGGTTAGAGGAGATAATGGTGGAATTGGGTTAAAGAGGCGCAGCTGAGGCTCAGGGCCAAAACCAGGAGGTGGGTGGTGTGTGTGTGTGTGTGTGTTCAGTGCCACTTTGGGGGCCATGAGCCCTGGGGGGTTCTCGTGTGTCCCCCCCAGCCAGTATCAAACAGGTTTTGCTCCGCTCCTGCAGTTTAGGGGGTCTTATTTTTTTTAATCCCTAAGTAGCCAGCAAGGCATTTAAAGGGTTTGATATCAAATTAAGAGAGGTTGTATCTAAGATGATAATTAGAGAAAGCTGGGACATAACCTAAATCAGAGCATTTGGAGCCAAAAAAACCTCTATAGTCTTAGGGATGCATTTGAGTGCCTGGTTGTTTCCCTTTAATAGCAAAATATTTAAAACCTCATTTCCCCATTCAAGGTGAACATCACATTAGGTTTATTGTGTTTCCCCCTTTGCAATGCAGGATTATCAGCTTGTTTCATGGAAAAGTTTAACACCCCACTCAGCAGCAGGCTGTGGGTTTGGGTTGTTTTCTTTGGGACTTTATTTTTTTTCCTTTAAATCTCCCCTTTTCAAATTGTCACAGCTTGACAGTTTTGTGCCAGGAACACGCTGTCATCCTGAAACTCATATCTTTAATTCCTTTCCTCTGATGCTAATAACACCTTAAGATGATTAAGACCGGGAAAAAAACCTCAGTATCTTCTTTTTCTGCCATCGGTGATGCTGGCTGCTGGCTCTCGGTCCTTCATTCATTTCGGGGAGTAAAATTAGAGCGGTCGCCCTCCTCCTGCCGCCCATGCCGGGGTGCTTCTCCTTGGTTTTACCTTCTGGCTTTTAATTGCTGTTAAATGCAATTAATCCTATTGATGCTGCCGGGCTATCCAAACGCTTTTCTTTTGCGATGTAAGATGCCACGGCGCAGGGCCCCCTCCCGCAGCGTCCCTTGGCTGGGGGCCACCCCGCAGCGCTCCCCGCTCACGCCGGCGGGCCCCAGTTTGGGAGCAGCCCGGGCAGCGTGCCCGCACCAGCGCCGGCGGTGCCAGGAGCCGTGGGGAGGGCACGGACACGCCGTCCTGCCCGGGACGCCCGCTCTGCCGGGCATCGCTGGGCACGCAGCAGCCAGCAGCCAGGCTGCGAGGACACGGAGTCCTGTCAACGGGAGGTTATTTTATTTATTTATTTAATATATTGTCGGTCTGGGGCGCGTTTTAGCTCCCCCATATCACAGGGCACCACTTACCCCGTGGCACGACGGTGCCAGCCCAGCTGACGCTTCCCTGCCGGGCTGGTCACCAGCTGGTTTTGGCAGCGACTTTGACACCTTCTTGCTCATCTAGGAAACAAGGTACTGGATAAAATGAAATACCATGCGCTCTGGAGGGGCCCGTAAATCCCTGGGTGTGAAGCTTTATCTTGGTGTGTGCGAGGGCAGGAGCCTGTGGATGCACTGAGCAGGTCGGCTTCCCCCCCGGAGCGGGAGACAGCAGCAGATTGTGAAAAATGCCTCATTCGGCCTAAATCCCGTCTGGGTGCTGGGTCAGTGGGTCCCAGAGTCTGATGAGCGGCTCGAGGATGGTGGGACATTGGTTTAGCTTTTTAGGTCGTGTTTGGATAGTGAGTGGAGCAAACCGGGGAGCTGCATCGCTTGCAGGGCCCTATGCGGTGCCGCTTGGTCAAGACCTTTGGTTTGCGTTTCCACGTGCAGTCGTGCCTCAGTTTCCCCAAAGGGCAAATAAATGGCCCCTTCCCTCGCGGCTGTCAAGCTGAGCTGGCTGGTGGCACTTTCTGGAGGTTTAGTGGGACTTGGTGACCCAGGACAGGTCGTTTGGGCCCCCCGATGCCAGCGATTTAGCTGTGGCACAGCGGGGTCCTGGCCATCCTCGCTGCCCTGCGCAGCCCAGGGGCTCTGGGGATGGGAGTTCTGAGGGTTTGGCAGCGCGGCTGGAGGGAGTTCGGTAGCCCTGCCCCTGCTCTCGAGTGAGGAGAGAGAAGTGACCAGAGGAAAGGCAGGCGAGGGAGGAAAGCAAAGCTGCTGGTCCTTGACGTGCTGCAGCCTGCGGGCTGTGTCCCCTGTGCTCCTGGCATCCCCGTGTTCCTGGTGTTCCCGTGCCCCCCATGCTCCTGGCATCCCCCTGCTCCCAGTGCCCCTCTGCTCCCCGTTGGCTCCATGGTCACAAAAGACTTGTCAGCAGCTCGATGTCCAAGTGGAGAGCAGTGACAAGCGCCGTTCCTCAGGGGTCAGGGTTGGGCCCAGCGTTTTTCAACGTCTTTGTCAGTGACAGGGCCAGTGGGGTGGCTGCACCCTCAGCAAGTTCAGCCACGACCCCGAGCTGTGTGGTGGGGGGACACGCTGGGGGCAGGGATGGCATCCAGAGGGACCGGGGCAGGCTGGAGAGGGGGGACTGTGCAAACCTCCTGGGGTTCAACAAGGCCAAGGGCAAGGTCCTGCCCGTGGGTCGGGGCAATCCCCAGCACAAACCCCGGCTGGGCGAGGGGTGGCTGGAGAGCAGCCCCAAGGAGAGGGACTGGGGGGGCTGGTGGGGGGAAAACTGCCCGTGAGGCAGCCCCGTGCGCTCACAGCCCAGAACCCACCCGTGCCCTGGGCTGCAGCCAGAGCAGGGGGGGCAGCAGGGCCAGGGGGGGGATTGTCCCCCTCTGCTCCGCTCTGGGGAGACCCCCCTGCAGTGCTGGGGCCAGCTCGGGGGCCCCCAACAGCAGAAGGACACGGAGCTGCTCAAGCGGGGCCAGAGGAGGCCACGGAGATGCTGGGGGGGCTGGAGCAGCTCCCCTGGGGGGCCGGGCTGAGAGAGTTGGGGGGGTTCAGCCTGGAGAAGAGAAGGCTCCGGGGGGACCTTCGAGCGGCCTCCCGGGGCTTAAAGGGGGGACAGGAGAGGTGGGGAGGGACTCTGGATCAGGGGGTGGGGGTGGGACGAGGGGGGACGGTTTTGCACTGAAAAAGGTCAGATTTAGATGAGCTCTAAGGCAGAAATCCTTCCCTGTGCGGGGGGTGAGGCACTGGCCCAGGGTGCCCAGAGCAGCTGTGGCTGCCCCCTCCCTGGAAGGGTTCAAGGCCAGGTTGGACGGGGCTGGGAGCCCCCTGGGCTGGGGGAAGGGGGCCCTGCCCGGGGCAGGGGGGGGCACTGGATGATCTTTGAGGTCCTTTCCAACCCAAACCAGTCTGTGAGTCTATGATTCTATGTTCCCAGTATCCCCGTGCTCCTGCCATCCCCATGCTCCCAGTATCCCAGACCTGCAGCCCCCCAGTGATGCCTCCTCACCTTTTTTCCCCTCCCCATCCCACAGGAGGAGTGGCCAAGCCGGAGACGATGACTGCCAAAAGCGCTGAAACCAACGGACCCATGCGGGAGCCGGAGGCGGGGGGGACGAAGCCGCCAGTGCCCCCCGCCCCGCCGCGGCGCCGGGGCCGCAGGCTGCGGCACAAGTCACCGCCGGAGGTTTCGGTGAAAGGGCAGCTCCGCATGCGCTCGCCATCGGGGGCCTTCGTCATGGTGGGCATCTCGGTGGTCCTGGTGGGCATGACCATCGCCGTGGTGGGCTACTGGCCCCACCGGGGACCCGGGGGCACCGGGGCCAGCGTGGGGAATGCCAGCATCGCAGGGGACATGAGGAGGGAGGTGGCCGCCGGCCGCCACGTTCCCCACAGTGAGAAGCTCAAGCTGATCGGCCCCGTCATCATGGGCATCGGGCTCTTCATCTTCATCTGTGCCAACACCATGCTGTACGAGAACAGGGACATGGAGACCCGCAGGCTGATGGAGAAGGGGCTCTACTGCGCGGCGGCGGGTGTCCCTGAGGGGGCCGGCCCCGAGGACGGGCGCTGCCAGCACGGGGACAGCCAGCCCGTCCCCAAGGCCAACGCCGAGTGCGTGGAGGGCTGCTACCAGGTGGATCTCTCCTGCCACCCCTGCCCCAGCCCCGGCAGCAAGTGGTCCGACTGCTACGGCCCCAACAGGCTCCAGACCACGGCGGAGTTCCTCCAGCACCCAGCAGCATCCCCCGCCACCTCCCTCCTCAGCCTCCGCTCCGGTGCCTCCGCCGAGGCCAACCTCAGCCTCCCCCGCCGCGCTGGAGCCGAGTCCCTCCTCTCCTCGGCCGTCGGCGCCTTGGCGCTGCCCGTCATCAAGCTCAACAACCGCTTGCTGGATGCGGCGGCACGGGGGGCCGGCGAGAGGGTGGAGGGGGGCCCCACCGAACCCCTCCCTGAAGCACCACCACGGCTCTCCCGGGCTCCGCTCTCCGACGGCAGCAGCATCGCGCCCCGTGGCCAGGGCCGTGGGGGTGGTGGTGATGGTGGTGGTGGCCACATCATCATCGCCGTGGAGGGCGGCTGCCCCGGCGTGGAGCCGGCGGCAGCGGAGCTCGGCCCCAACGTGCAGCTCCACACCCCAGGACACTCCAAGTCCCTGGACCTCGGCCGGCCGGGGGTGCTGCTGGTGGCCCCCATCAAGGACCGTAAGAACCGGAGCTGGCCCCGGCTGGATCACATCAGCCTGGTGGGTTACGCCAAACTGGGAAGTACTGGCGAGTCCTCAGACCGGCTGCTGGACCCCAACGAGCCCCCGAGCCGGGGCGAGCCCCGACCCAGCTCCTGGGTGGTGGGGATGGAGCGAGGCGCGCAGGTCTGACATCCCCAACACCTTTGGGGACCGTAACGTCACAGTCCCTCGTCCTGACCCCCAGCACCCACCAGCAAGCCCGAAACCCCACGTCCAGGAGGGGTTTGGGGATGGCGTTTTTAAGTGGATGCCAAGAGGGAGGGTCCTGACCTGCTGCTCCTTGGGAAGGACTCACCCGGGGTGGGATGTCCTCTCTCAGTGGATGCTCTTGGCCGTACAAGCCCTTCTCCTGGTGGCTTTTCCAGAGGAGCCCTGGCTTTGAGACCCAACACAAACTGGGGGATGGGGATGTGGGGATGGGTGAAGCCCCACCAGCCCCCCGCAGCACTTTATTTCAGCAGGGTTGTGGGGATGTTTTGAGGGGTGGTGTCCCTTTGCCCAGCCTCAACCCACCAGAAAATTCGCTTGACCAGAGCACGTAAGCCCGATGGGGCTATTAAATATTATCTTGATGCCTTGTGGTCCCACCTTGCCTCGTCGTCTTCCCTGCGAGATGCTCGGGGTGGGCAGCGTGCCCGCGGCAGCCGGTCCCCGAGGGTCTCGGAGCCCCTTGCTGCCCCCACCCAGGCTCAGCTGGAGAGAGCTCTATAACCAGCTGCTGAATATTTGCAGGGTAAGGTGATAAGCTCAAGGTTTGGGGGTTGTTTTTTTTTTTTTTTTTGCAGAGTAGTGATGCAAGAGGTGCCAAGGGGAGCTGCAGGCAGCGAGCGAGGTGCTGCTGCCCACCCTCCTGCTATCCGGGCAGCCACGAAATTAAACTGGAGTCACTGGGGTGCAGCGGTTCCCAAAGCCTGTCTGTGGGTCGGGGTTTATTTGTGCTGTTTTCTGGTGGGGTGAAGGATATGGGTAGTGGGAGGAGGGACGTGATGGGGCAGAGAGGTAGGGGTGAGGGTTGGTGCTGGTTTTGCCAGGCCCTGTTGGGTGCTGTTGTGTTATTTGGTGCTTTTAGGATGCAGAACAGGAGCTGCATGAGGTGAGGCCAGAGAGCCAGCCTTGGTGCTGGGGTGGTGCAACCCCTGGGGAGAAGGTAGCACAGAAACAAAACCCTCCAAAAAAAAAGGTCATAGCAGAAAAATGCAGTAGGAAAATGTGGATAAAATGAAAAATGAAGTAGAGAAACAGGATTCACTGTGTTGGGCGCAGATCTGCTGCGGGATGCAGCTCACATCCCATGTCAGGAGATGGCTCCAGGCTCAGCAGCCGGGAGAAGGGAAATGTTGGCTGCTCATTTTCTTGCAGATGAGCAATTTTTCTCTGGCATTTCTTTTCAGGTCCTTTCCCAGGGCCTTTGCCATGATGGCCCCTGGGGAAGGTGTGGGCTGGTCACTGCTTTGGTGCTCAGCCCTGGTTGCTGTTGATTCCCCCCAGCATATGGCTGCGGCGTCCCTCCGATGTCCCCTGGGAACCCAGGAGGGCTTGGGGGGACAGGGGGGTGTCAGGTCCCACCAGGCATGGCACGGCCATGAGGCAGCAATGATAGAGCCTGGTTAAAATAAATAGGAACTGGAGGAATATCCTTCACCTTTGTATTTTTAAGGCAGCAGCTGGAGCATCCCAGCTGTGCCACTAGCTCATGCGAACGCAGGGACAAACCTTTGCTGGGGTGTCCTCCCTTCACCCTTGGAGGCACAACACCAGGGTTGGACCTTGTCCCAATAAAACCCCCTTTTTTTAACACCAAGTCCATCCCTGGCTCTGGTGGAAGCCTGGGGTGGGGGCTGAAGCACCAACTGAGGGCACCGAGGTGGGAGCATCCCCACAGGCCCCCCCGGGGATGGAGGGGCACCACTTGGGCAGACGGCTGCGTCTTCCCAAACCATCTTTTTTCTCTTTTCCTGCTTCTTTTCCCCCATGTCCGGGGAGATTTACCCTACCAAAAAGCAGAGGAGGAATTTTTGCAGCAGCAGCAGCTCTGCTTTACTGAAGCACCCGGAACCAGCATCTTGCCAGGCGCCCAAGGCCCACCCTGATCCTGTTCTCCAGCCAGAAACTCCCAGTCCACCCGCAGCAGCCGTGTCTGCTGGTGCTGGGGGCTCATCCCAGTCCGCCCCGCTCCCCCCAGCGCTGGGGCAGGCGGAGCCCCGGGGTGCCGGGGGGTGTCGAAGGATGGATAGAAGCGAGGGGGTGAGGATGGTTCTGCTCCCTGGTGACCCAGGAGGCTTCAAAATGTGACGTTGCATCTTAGACGGGATCCCACCGTGGTGTGTGTAAATGGCTGAAATATGTTTTATCTGTATGAAATGTTTTGTTTGGGTTTTTGGTTTTGTTTTTCTTTTTTTTTTTAATTCATTCCTGTCTCTGCTTCTCCCTCTCCCTGGTCTGAAGTGAGCACCGAGCCTTGGACCTTGCAAACCTCTGGGACAACATCCTTCTGCAGACCAAAACATCCCTGCAGAATGGCTTGGAAACTGCCTTTTCTGGCAAAAATACATTCCCAGCACAAGTGTTCCTAGCAGCTTGGAGACTTACGTCCCCCTGGCCAAGGGCTGGGGCTGGGCAGAGGGGAACCATCCCTGGCCAAGGGCTCCTGTCACCCATTTTTGTCACCCCATGGGGTTGGGGTCAGGGAATGGGGCTGCAGGAGCGACGTGCTGGCGATGCTGCTGTCTCTCACTTGGCTTTCAGCTCCTTCCACATCACCCCACATTGGCACCAGGACTGGGGAATGGCAGATTAAAGCCTGCAAGAAACAAAACTGCTCCGTGCTCATTTTAGAAAAGTCAGGGTTTCCATAACTTTTTTATTTTTCCCCTCCCTTTGAAAACTCAGCATGCTGTGTTTCAATTTTTATTATTATTCTTTCATTTTTATTTCTATTTTGCCTTTCAAACAGGAGCAATATCTGCTTCGTGCCCTGTTGCCTAGAGCAGATCTGTCCCCATCTCCACCTTCCCCGTGCCTTTCCACCTGCTCCCAGCCTGCCCCATACGAAACCCCCTCCGAGTCTGGGGCTGCTGAACCCCTCCTTTCCCAACAAGCAACCCCTAAGCTTCCCCCACACCCCTGCAGTGTTTTTTTGTTGGTTTTTTTTTTTTTTTTTTTCTTGCTTTACAAGAAAAGGCTGTCTCTGTTACTGATGCAAGCTCTCCCAAAGAGGTTGGGTACCAGCATCGCCCTTTGCAGGGAAGCAGAGCTGGGGCCGCCGGCTGCGGTTTGGGAGTCAGTAGCATCCCCGAGGTTTTGCTGGGAGCGAGACCAGCCCACAGCTCAGCTATTTATTTGGCTGCTTAATCTCAAAATTATTTAGGCACTGGTTCAATGCAATAAACAGCAACAACAGAAGTCACCGGCGGGGTCTGCCCGAAGCAGCATCCCAGAGGATGTGCCAGGAGATTGTTTTTAGCTGGAAATAACTTTTCATTCGGGCTTAACCAGCTGCAGCCAGAGCTAACGCCGGGCCCTGAGCCACACTTCGGAAAGTGGCAGCAAGGAATCAGAGCCCAAAATGCTGCAAGGAGCTGCACCAGGAGCTGCCTTAGGGCTGGGGACTTTTGTTTTAATTTTCCTGCTTCATTTTCTGGCTGGAGCTCAGACCAGCCTTGGGAAGTGGCTTCAACCCAGCGTGGCAAATGATGGGGGATGAGAGGGGAACCTGCCTGCAATGCCTCCTGCCTGGACCACGCAGCCACTCCAGCATCCTCCTCCTTCCCAACTCAGCAGCATCCTCTGGGGAGACATTTCTGAGCCACGTAGGGATCGTTTCAAAATGCAAAGCTGCTTTATTAATTAATCCAGTGGGGTGAGAAGACCCGTGTTCTCTCTGGGGAGAGCATCATCTGCACATCCCTCACCTGCAGTTTTGCCTGTGGACATGGTTTCAAGAGTTGGTGGGATTTTAACAGTGCTGGTTTCAATGGATGGGTGCTGTGGATGCTCTCACCCCCATGCTGCTCCCATAGTGTGCTGGGAAGAAAACTGGACAGGAATGGAGCTGGGTTAAAACCAAAAATTTTTAAATAAAGTAAAAAAAAAAAACAACCAAACCCTGGATCCCTCTGTTGACCCCACTCGGCTGCAGAGCTGTGAAGTTGAACCATCCTGGAAACATTGGAGATCTCGTGGTGTGCGGCTTGTGAAGAGTGATACTGGATGGTGCCTTCTCATCCTGCCCAGGAACCGGCTCTAGAAACTAGATTAAACATCCAGCCGTTATCAACCACCAGAGTATCCCCACCCCAGGAGGTGCCTGGGGCAGGAGGAGATTCCTACCAAGAGAAGGGGGATTTCGCCAGAAACACCAGCAACAGAAAATAGTGGGGTTGTCCCCAATGCTGACACGTCCAGGCTGCCCAGGAGTGACCATGGGTGTCCCTTGGGCCACCACGGTAGAAGACGGAGGCAGGAGAGGCCCCGCCCATTGCAATTAGTCCCACATCACCAAGGGACCTCTAGGCTGGGGCACGGCTATGGGACAGATGTAGGTTGGGCCAAAAATGGACAAAATGTGGACAATGGGTAGAGAGAAACTGCTGCTGTAGGCTGTGCGGGGGAGTGATGCCCTGGGGAGGGTGCAGACCCCCCCTCAGTGACTCTAAAAGGGTCTCCCATGCCCCGGGCTGCCCCAGCCAGTGCTGGGGGGGCTCCAGGTTTGCTGCTGGGACACTTCTATCCCCAGGGGAGGGGGTGGGGGGGTTAATAACAGACCTTCAACCACCTCCTTAACAGGTCACATACGTGGAGCTGGAGCTAAGGACTGTGCAGGGGGTCAGAGCTGAACCAAGAAACATCCCCCCCAAAGGAGCAAAAAGAGGGGGATGGAGGGAGAAGGGCTGGAGCAGCCACGCCACAAAGCAGCCGATCCCAATTGCAAAGGATCCAGACCCAAACCCCCCAGCTCAGCCGGCTGCGGCCGCGCTCGGCAGGATCAGCCGCAGCTGGGGGATGCTCACTCCCACCCCACACCTGATGCTGCTCAACCCACCCGGTCCCACCAAGCTGCCAGCCCTCGGGCTGGTTTGCAGCCCTTCTTCATCCCCCTTCTCCTTCCTCCTCCTCTCTCCACAGTGAGGGAGGCCGCAGCCACGGGGCTGTTTGACTGGTAAGTCCTTCCTTAGGGTTTTAAAGTCCCTGCGAAGGGAAGCACTCTGTGAGGGGCTGCGCACTCGTGGTGCAACCAGGGAATGCAAATGTTGGTGTGTTACTTAGGGCAAGTGCTCTCTGCTATAAATCTCCTTCCCCAGGCACTGGGAGGATGAAGTGTCAGGGCTTTCCATGACGGGGCTGAGGCTGGGGCCACTGTGACCTGTGGCGAGCAGTAGTGCGGCGCTTTGCGCCTTATATTTAAAGGTGAGGACCCCTAAGTGGAGGTGATGGGGCGTGGATGTGCCCACCTGTGCTACAAATCCTTGTGACCTTTTGGTGTGGCGTATAGGGTGCTGCTTTTGGGTGCTTTATTTAAGAAAAGGGAAGGAAGTGTGAGGCAAAATGCCTCTCTGCATTGCTGAGCCAAGGGTCT